TCCATGTAAGAACATGCAGCAGAAGAAATAAAAAACAAGGCATGGCTGAATGGCACCTTAAACTATTAAATATCAACCCGGAAGTTTGGGAGTTTTTTCTCCTGTTTGAATTGTTTCTCAAGAAGCAGTAACTCCTGCATTACCAACAAAATTCTCAGAGATGTACCCATATTCTAACAAAAAAGACCTAACCCAAACTTATAATGTTTGATAATCTGAAAGCAGTGTCTGTAACATGTTTGAAGAAGTATGTTAGATACATATGAAAATTAATAGTTCATTTAAAAAATAGAAAAGTAGAGTTACTTCTCAAGTAGAATTCCCTCTATTACAACAATCAAATGCTGTCCAATTTCAAATAACAGGCCCAAACCCCACTGATATTTATAAACAAAGTCAACTTTATTCCTGTTAGATAGAACAGTGTGAAACAACTGCAACTGCTCGCACTGAACTTTGCCAGGACTTCCACAGTTGAGATCTATTTCTCAAGTACTTCTTTCACTAGAGCATTTGCTTAAACAATCCTCTTGCCTCCTGGCACACTTGTTACCCAAGGAAATTATGTAAGTTAAATATAACCACATTTAAAAGAAAAAAGAAAAACAACCCAGGTAGTTAATTTTAACCTGGATCATTTCCCCAAGCCAGTTACAGGACACAATTCCACGAACCGTTGTGCTGGTGCAGCTGAGGGGGGGCAGCAAAGAGGAGAGTGGGGAGCAAGGAAGAGGCAGGCCTGCTCAACTCCACATTGCCACCAAAAGCTCTGCTTGTCAAACTATGTCATTTAAAAAAAAGACTTACTTTAAGGATTCAGAGGGTCTGGATCTACGACCAGCCACTCCATCGCTACATGCCACTTCATATCCCAGCTAAAACCTTATCTGACTTTCCCTGTGCCTCTTGGTAGGTCAGCCCTTAACAGGCACATGAAAACAACAGCCTTACAGAAATCTCACGACAAATCTCTTTGATTAGTTCACAAGCACTCCTTCTCACGGAAAAAAAAAAAAAAATTATATCGAGGCCTAAAGCAGCAGGAATTTGAAAGTGAAACCAACCAGAAATGGGGATCCACCTTAACACAAACACAAAATTTAGGTACCACGGATTTCCTCGCTGGTCCTATTTCACACCTGCACGCACTGGAGTATTTGACACACTGACTTTAAGGCCGCAATAAGTCGGGCGAGGAACGGACGCTACCGAGAAGCCCTCAGGCTTCGGAGCCCGAAAACGCTGCAGGCACCGCAATAAAGTTACCCGCAATAAAGTTTTTTAATTTAATAAAATTAAAAAAAAAAAAAAGCCTACAAAATGCGTACGCGCCCGCAGCTCCAGCCCACCTGCCGCAGGGCGAGCGCGGGGCTCGCTCCTGCCGCCGCCCGGAGCCCGCGGCCCCGCAGCGCTGTCCCGCCCGGGGAGGGCCCGGGGCCAGGCGGGCACCGACCGCAGCCCGACGGCCGTGCAAACACCCGCACCGCGTTCCGGGGGACCACCCCCGCAAACCTTGCCCGGGCGTGGGGCGGCGGGGCGGGCGGCTCCCCTCGGCCCCCGCGGGACGAGTCGCCCCGTGGAGCGGAGCGGCGGCGGACGGGCCGCGAGGGGAGGCGGCGCCCACGGCTCCGCTCGGCCTGGCCCGGCCCGGGGATGCCGGGGAGCCCCGCGCCCGCCCTTCCCGGTCCGCGGGCGCGGGGCCAGACGGACAGCGCTCCCGCCGCGCCCGGAGTTGTGACAGGAGCAAAGTGGGTCACCGGGCCTAGCGGGTGCCCCGCGAGCGCCCTCCGCCCCCGGCTGCGGCCGTGCCCGCCCAAGGGCAGCCGCTGCCCTCCCGCCCCGCCGGAGCGCGGTGGGGAACCCGCCGGTGCTGTCAAACTTCCATCGCTCCCCTCCGAGCCGTCCCCCCGCCTTCCCCTCGCCGCCGCACGCCGGGGCCCGGCGCCGCCGCCCGCACCGCCCAGAGACGCGCTAGCTGCTCACCTGTCCCCGCGCTGCCGCTGCCCGCCCAAGCTGTCCCGGCGAGCGCCGCTCCCCGCGCACAGCCCCGCGCCCGCCAGCACTGCCTGACTGAGCCGCCGCCGCCGCCTCCTCCTCCTCCTTCTTCTCCTTCTCCTGCTGCTGCTGCTCCGGCGGCGGCACCAGCAGCACCCGGGCCCGGGAGTCCCCACGCCGCCACTGCGCCTGCGCCGCCGAGCACCCACCGCCGCCGGCCGCCGCGGCACCTCGCGCCACCGCGCGTGCGCCGGGGCACACTGCAACCCGCGGCACCCCGGGCCTCGCGCGGGGCCGTCGTCGCCGCCGCTGCCGCTGCTGCCGCCGCGCCTGCGCACACGCGGGTCACCAGGGAGGTGAGCCCCGCTCTGCGCGCGCCGCGCCACGCGTTAGCGAGGGGGGAGTTGGCTCTGCGCAGGCGCAGTGGGCGCGCGCCTCCCTGACCTGGGCTCACCTCGCCTCAGCTCACCCCGCGCGCCGGGAAATGGCGTCCGCCGGCACCGCCAGGCACGGACAGAGCCGGCAGCGCTGACCCGCCGGCTCCGAGCGTCAGGGCTCGCCAGGCTGCGACCAGGCGAGCGGCGACGCTGCTGCGAGGGCTGGTCTTCAGGCGGGCGTAGAGCCCGCAGCCGAGTCTCCGCAGGCGCTTTCCCAGCGACACGGTGAACCCGGCGCGGAACGCGGGCACACGCGCCTTCCCATAGGGAAACACCCGGCGTCCCGGATGCTCTCTGGGAACAGACGTGCTTCCCGAGTTATTTAGGGGTTCAAGGAACCCCTCCCGGCGGTAGTCCGTGATTTCTTTTATGAGTGTGCATAAAGTGGTGTAACTAAACGGAGAGGCAGAGAACAGACATGACCGTCTCAGTCCTTTTGTCCGTGTACAAGGCTTCTAATGCCATTCAATAAATGTGCCGCGGTTATGTTAACATAAAACTGTCTTGAGTGCAGCAGAACATTGCAGGGAATTGTATTCTGTAAAATAAAACGTCGCTCAGCAGTAATATTTAAATAATCCCAGTTTTCTCTCTTCAGTTACGAGGATTTTATTTGTAAATTGATCACCTGAATAGCAACATATCTAAAAGTGTAATTACAAATGTGTATCTCTAGAAGCTTAATTCGTGTTCGTGTCTGGAATGAAATAAGGAACTTGGCTGCAAAATCTCATGGATTTTCCTTTCTGGGTTACTTTCCAGGTAGATCAGTTTCCCCGTTTGGTTCACCTAATAATCAGCCTTGTGCAAAGGTATTTGCAGGGCAGGAGCCTCTTTAGCAGTAATGCTGCCAAAGAGCTAACCATGAGCTCAGCTTTTCTGCTGGAAGAGTTCTAAAAAGCATTGGTAACAACACTCATTTTTGCTAGTGATTCATAATACTCCATTTCTAGCTTTCAATTAAGGAAAATGTGATATAAACAAAACTAATAATACCATTACTCATTAAAAGGATAATGCTTCTATGATGAAATGTAGCAGAGATAATAGGGTGTAACAGGAATGGAACATCTAGAAGAAAATGCAGGAGCATTTCCAACAAAAATGCATAATTACCAGAACTAGAATATGGCAAATAAACCAGGAAGCTAAAAATAGCATCAAGCTGTATCTATCAAATTTGCCAAAAGATCTTTAGTAACCAGTATTAATTCTTCAGAAAAACAAAGTAGAGATTCTATCCTGTCTTGCATGTATAGGAACATAACACTTTCCTACTGCAGTGTTGCAGTAGCAAATTACTCTGTGACAAGATTAAAACAGGCAGCACAGCTGTGGAGATGACAGACATTTGCATTTACTGCCAAAAATTATGACTTATGCAAGGTAATTTTTTTAATGCTACTTCTCTTTTGAAAATATGTTAGAGGATGCTGAAGGTACAGGACTAGTTAGAGATGCTGTAGTGGTTTTATGAAACTATTCTTGTTGAAATACTATTACTCTGCTCTTTTCATCAATGTAAGTTTGCTCTGGTGTGTAATTATAGTTTTGTTTCACTCACAAGGGTTATGAGAGAGCCAATGTAGCTTTTAAACAGTGCCAAATTAAGAGCAGCAGATATTTTGTGAATTATTGAGTGATGGAACTGGATTGAGCCAGAAGTGCACTTCCATTAACTATAGCTGTGTTTCCTACAGAAGTGCCATTGCCATCTTGTGTGTGATGTACCTCAGAACTGTAGAGCAAACACCTGCTCAGAGCATTTGTTTTTGATCTTCACTGGCCTATTCAAAAGAGGATCTATTTGAGGAGGCTGATTTTGAAACTAAATTTCACATCACACGAGAACACTAAAATCAGTGGATGTTGACTTGAAAGCCTGTCACAATCCACATAATCCTTGTAAAGCAAGGTTGACACGTTCATTCCTAGAGCCTTTACTTCCAAATGGTATAACTGACCCAGCACCAGAAACATCTGGTTTTAACCTGCAGATTCTCTTGGGTTTTTCTGTTGCTTTGTCACACCTGATGGCCGTAACCACGATCACATGGTCACTACTTGGATGAAGTTACAAAGTCAGGGTCACCAAAGGGGAGGTTTGGTGCTTTCCTACCATATCTTGCTTCCAGTGTGACAGCACTGGCACTTGTGAATTGCTGTGAGTTGTCCCTCACAGCAGCCACAGTGTGGCCGGGAGGTCACTGATAAGATGAGGCAGTACTCCTTTTGCAGCAGCCAACATTGGTACTTGAAATGACTGTGGAATCACATCTAAAGCCCCTGGTGACCTATTGACATTTAAAACTGCTAACTGGCTCTGTAGTTTAAAGGGCAGATAATGGCAGATAAGCCATTGTCTCTGAAATTTATCTACTAGTTGCCTCTTTGAATCTGCAAAATACAAGTTCCCAGAAGTGGTATCTGCCACTAGATATCTACCAATAGCAGAGCTATATCTCACTGCATGGAAAAAAAACCAGTCATCAATTCACTTTGTTGTTCTTCTTATGTATCTGTGTGGCATGTGTTAAGGGAACTATTCTTTTTCATTTTTCTTTCTGCATTTCAATGCTATAAACCATGTCAGTTGCATATAACTAAATCTTCATAAGTACACTGGGATTTTTTTTTGTATGATGAGTCACTGGAAAAATAACATTAATACTATACAATTTGATTCACTACTCATAAGAAATAAAAATGCTGAATCAGGAGGAAGGCCTCTTCATTCGCTCATGTAGTTTTGCTTCTCTACGGTGGTACTGTAAACTACTTTGTAAAAGATACAGTTATGTTTGTAAGGAAAGAAAAACTGATTCAACTGTCAGTGTTTTAAAATAGTGGGACAATTATCTACAACCCTAGAGAAAATTCTTGAACTCTTATCAGACAAATGGAAGTGTTAGTCAATGGATTCACAGCCAAATCCTGATTATATATGTCTATAAGCATCGTTGTCTTTGGGTCACGCTTTTCAGTGGGGGAACTGAGAAGGTACTTTGCAGAGCAAAGTTCTACTACAGTAATGTCACTGAAAATTAAAGGAATATCTTGCACCCACACTGGATAAAAGGAAGAGGAAAGTATGGATTAGAGCCCACCAGCTAATGCCCTCCCTTTTCCGTTTAAGCAGAGTTTTTATGAAATGGAGAATCCAGACTCTCCATGTCAATGACAGCCACCTGTAGGAATTTAAAGGTAAGTGTGGGTTTCATTTACTACAGTTTTCTTCCACAAATCAAAACCAAAAAATACACAATCGAACCAGAAGTTTTTTCTTTTTCCCCTCCCCTGTTTTTAATAGTTTCAGGCTTACCACAGGAGTAAAAAACTGTATGTGAACTAACTTATGCCAAACAGATGATCTGTTTAAAGCATTAAAAGGCTCTCAAGCAGTTTCATCACATCACTGGTTTTTGTATTGGTGTCTTCATGAGCAGAAGTGCTTCACACTGGCAGTATCATATTCATAATGTCCTTTTGGGGGTTTTGTTCTTAGTTTTTGTTGCTCCAACTTGTGCTAATTTTCAATTGAACTCTTGTAAAAACAAGTTACAGTTTATTCTGATAGCTGCAGGTAATTCTCACTTAAGAGAAAAATGACTTTAAATAAAGAGCAAGACACATCTCAACAACAATAAAAATTAGAGCCAACCCAACTTTATCTCGGTAAAACATCTAACTGTGATATTGCAGAATACCCATGCTTAGGCAATACTCTTACCACAGAATTACATAAATTAGTTCTTTGCTTTTTGTAGACTTTTTTCCCCTACAAAAACAATCAAAAACCTGTTCACTCTTTAAGCAGTGGCCTTTAGATGTAATGATCAGAAATGAGTTATTTAAAAGTACTTCTCTTACCTTCTACATTCAGCTACTCCAATGAACCTGCGTTTTATTTCACTAGTTTATATACAAGTACTGTATATATCATGGTAATTCTGAATGCAGAAGTTTACAATGGCTTTGAGAAACCTGACTTCTGGAAACTTCCAGGCTAGCAGGTTGAGGTGTTCATTAACCAGTAAACACATTGGGATGCTAGAAAAGAAGAAAGTATGATGACATTTCTGGTATAAATGATTTGTAAAGTAACTAAAGAATTCTTTAAAGAATACTATAGTCTCTTTCTATTTTAATTTGTGTCTCAGTCTGAGGAGACTGGAATGTTTGCTAAAGAGGGTGAGTTATGAGATAGACCAAACTCCTCTCTCTCAGCAATTGTAAATTCAAAATTAAGGGGCTTTAATCTAGGAAGTGTGGAAAAAAACAGAAGAAATAACAACCCTTTATTAAAAGATATATGTATGTTGGCAAAAGCAGTAACAGAACACAAAAAAACTAGACAGTAGTCCTAAAAAAAAAAGTCTGAATGAACACTTCTCTGTCCTTTAGCATAGCCCTAATCGTGGCCTGCAGGGGGCGCTGTTGGATCGCTGGAGGTGCAGGGCCTGCAGTACCTGTTATTCCCAGATGACGGTGTTCCAAGGCTCTTCCCTTCTCTCCCAGCAAGCACAGACCTCTCCGATGAAAACCCAGTAGGTCCCGGCTGGAGTCACGAGGCAGTGTGCGAGCCGACCGAGTCCGGTGGTCCGGCCTCACCAGGACGAAAAGCCAGAAAGAAAAACTTCCGGCCCTTCTCTCCAAATGCCCGCACGCAGATCCCCTTCTCCATCCCCGAGAGCGAACTCCACAGTCTGCCCTCCCCTCTGTCCAGGCGCCGGCTCCCCAAATCTCCAAAACCTTCCCCCCCTCACTCCAGCATTTGATGGGCCATTAGCATGGAATGCAGCCTGGCCAGCCATTCCTTTTGTAAGGCTAATTGATTCCCTTCCCCCTTCACTATTTGAACTCTGTTTCTCTTACAGGGAAGCAGGGAAAGAAAAATTCCTCTCTCAGATTTATAACCTATAACAATTTGTTATAAGAATTGCACCACAAATTTTATTTAGCTTCTTCGGAGATCGTTGTGATTCAAAGAGCTATCCAAGTAAAATTACATGGGAGGCACAGTCTATGAAAGCTACCAGACATTTCAAGCACTGTGCCTCAGTTTTGTTCTCCACTGAGATTTTAAAGCTCATTCTGTTCATTTATTGTAGAGTTTAAATGAGATTTTTGAACCTGTAACATACATTTTACTTTAACTGATTTAGACTAGCTTTCAGTTTAACATTTCATTAATTCTTTATTCTAGTAAAATCTAAGTAACATCAAGGAAACCTTTGTGTAGTCACATTATCACCAAAAACCTGTTCATTACTTCCATAGCTACTATTTGCAATACAATCACTATATAAACCTCAGTTTAAATAAAAAAAAAAAAAAAATCAAAAAAACAAAACCAAAAACTCCACCAAAAACCCAGACACAGAAACCCCCCTTTTTCTTGTTCCCCTTCAGCCCATTAACCTTTTAGCAATTAGGATCTTTGTTGCAGCCAATGTGACCTATGGACCCTGGGGGCCAAAGGCAGGCGACTCAGTTTTGTTACACGCCATGAGAGACTTTGGGGATACTCATATTCATTCCCAAGGAATTACCAGTTTCCTCACAAACTCGTATTTATGCAATGGTAAATTGCAGAATTGGTTTTCCATTATACAAATCCAATGAAAATCAAGAGAGGCTGCTATTTTCTTTCTTCAAATCTGTAAATTTAAATTGCTGTAATTTTAATGAAATTTGGCCTGAGCCTAAAAAATTATTAAATGTTCCATAGTAATTCTTAGTGCTTTTCAAAAACATCTAATAGAGTTGCTAACATATATGGAACTGATCATGGAAGTCCTTTGACATTTCTGCTGGATCCTATCACAACTTCTGCTATCTCTACAGAATTCACTGGGAAGATGATAAACTAACAAGTCCTCTAGCTTTCCTCAGTTTTCATAACTGAAACTTTTCCTGAAGGGTTTTCAATTTGTTGGAGTCAAAGGGGAAATAAAGGGGAAAGAAAAGTCCTGTTAAAGTACTCCTGCTAGGAAAAGAATCTACAAAGAGTGGACACCACTTTCTCAGTGAAATTCTGAGATTCAGTGAGGTTACATACATGGTGGTAAATGTACACAGCAAAATATTTTTTTCATATAATTGAACAAAAGTGAAGTGATTAATTCACACTAAGTGAATTAGCAAATCAAGGAGGTCAGATGCTCTCTAATTCCATTGCCTCCAACCAAATGCTATTTCATAAGACTCTCGTATTTAATTTTTCCTGGTATTGCTTTTTAATTACCAGTTCAATTCTTTGTATTGAAGTATTCAACATTTTGTGCAAGAATGTAATTACCTTGACCAATAAAGATGAATTATAACCCAAACATCCTCTGGAGCATTTGTAACTTCATTTACATACTGCTTTCTACAGCTTTCTCTTAGTTCCCCATACTTTTGCCTGCTCTGAAGACATTTCCATTCTTGCAAGTCTTGTTGCCTAATTAAAAACTAAAACTAAAAATAAGCATATTTGGAACATTTAAAGTGCATTTGAAAATAATATCCAGTGCATCTCAATTACTTTAAAAATTGAACAACCCTTTACCTTAAGGTCTTCTAACACAATTTCACACCTTAGAAAGTTTTCTATGCCAATCTTTATTCAATAATATGACATTAAAATACATTTTCTTAATTAATCAGTATCAGATTTGGGAAACTTGAGTAATAAGTTGCACAAGCATTTATCATTTGAGAAAAAGCCAGAAAATATTAAAGCAGGTACTAATTGTATGATCCTGAAAATGAGATTAGTTTAGGGAGGAATTACAGTATATATACTAATATTTACCAATTTTAAAATAATTCATGAAAACTGAAATGTAAAAACAGTAGATGGCAGTCTTCATCTATAAAAATACTTGCAAGGTAGAAAAGGAAAATACCTTACTGAAATCTGTTGAACTAAAAGCAGCTCTTAATTTTACTAACTGAAAGCCACTGCAAAGTGGCTTTTCAAAAAAAAAAAAAAAGAAAAGTTAAATAATACATGCACAATGTTATTATACTCTAGCAACAGTACAAGATAGTTTAAGTTTACAGCTTCCACATAACTGTGAATTATTATCTTCCTGTGAGAATACAGCACTAGATACAGAGTGTTAGCACTACAACTGTTTTGGCCATTTCAAAAACTCAAAAGCAGTAAGTATAGGTAGAATCTAAACAGAGGAAATGTTTTGATGGAGTTAGCTTTTTTATTCTGTGTAAACTGTCACTAACTGTGTTGTATGTTTAATTCAGAATCCTTTTAAAAAAAAAAAGTGACAATAATAAAAATTAAAACATAATTATTGTACAATATTCAAGTTATAAAAATTATTATTGAAAATATTCCCACTTTTCAAAATTTGTTATACTACTGGCATGTATATTTAATTTTACTTGCCCTGTGCTTCTTTCTCTGAGTGTAAAACCATTTCTTCAATTTCATCTTTCAGTTTTTCTTTTGGAGGAAGAATTCCAAAATCTTTCAATATATCATTCCATTCAGTATCTTTATTTGGACCCTGTTTTAATAGTACGAAGCAAAATTAAATCAACAAATGATTCTTGTGTGCCTTTTTAAAAATTAAAACCAGTCATTTTTGCTTTGGATGTACTGAAGGTGGAACAAAAGGGATCCATTACGTTAAGGCTGCAACACCTTCATGGACCATTCTCTATCATGAATTTTTATTTGTCATTTTTCACTTAAGAACTGAAAACAGCAAGAACTACTAAGAATAAGGTATTGACACTGTGAATAAATGTGTAAAAGCATACCTAGATTTAGAAGACCGTTTTGTTTTAAATCAATTATTAATATTAATGTGTTAACATAATACACCATGTTTATAACACTGGACTTCTGTGGTAATTTTAATTCAACTGTTAAGATAAAGGAACTGCATGCTTTTCATAAGACTGCATTTCTACTGAAATTATCACATTAAAAGACTCTTTATTTTAACGAAGCTGCTGTTGGAATGGTAGAATAACAACACCTGGGAGGCCTCAAATATGAATTGGAAGTAGTAAAGCAGATTTTAAAACAGATTGCTAATCAAAAGGTATGGTATTTTTGGCCCTGAAATAATGACTTATTTGAAAAGCCTCCATAAATAAATAACTATATAAATTTGAATAACATAAATATTTGGTGATATACATAATTCCATAATAATGCAGCATAAATCGAACAAAAAGTACATTACAAAAATTTTACCTGAGGAAACATCCAGGATTTTCATTGGATTATTACCGTGCCCATGAGTACTGCACTGGCCTTTTCAACTGACAGCTGCTTCATTTTTATTCAACAAGGCTCTTGTACAGAATTTAGCATGAGTATAATGCAACCAATTCTAATGAAGATCAAATACTACACATGCCTCAAGGATTTTCACAAAGGTAAAAAAATTGCTTTGCAATTTAGATGAAAAAATACTTGTGGAATTCACAAAGAGAGTAAATAGAATCATGCTATCACTCACAAGGAAGTTAAAAACAGTGGGTTTGCAAGAAGACTGATCTCTGCCAGTTTCTCTGGCATGAGGAAGGAAGCAAGGCTTGGCAGGATTTGAAGTGGAAAGGAAGTGGCAGCAGCTCACCGACAGTTCCTCCAACACTCCTATTCCATTGGCTTAGCAGACTGCAGGCAAGGGTACTGCTACCAACATGCACTACTAATGCAGCACTCTGGCCTTGCAAACTTCTAGAGCCTTATTGCTAAGATAAAGAAGAGATTTCACATCTGAATAATTTATTCCTTCTGCAAATCTCCGATATCCTGATGTTGAACTGCTCCACTGTAAATAGTTACAATAGGTGGAAAATTATTTTCTGTAACTTTCTACCTCTAAGAAGGTGGTTATTTCATCTCCAAATGATGTTTCAAATATACTCACAAACTGACTTTATCCACATATAAAATATAAGAATTAAGAATAATGTTTTCTCTTCCTTTGATTGAAAAGTAGTTGATACCATCCACTGGGAAAAAATTAAAGGAGAAGCTCCATAAATGAGTTAGATGGTCACTAATGGGTCTGTAGTAGGAAAAACCCAAACGAAGATTTTGCTATAGTGTTATTCCTCAGGGTTTACTTACACAAAAGCGTCTTACACTCAGTCTTACTGCAAGTTTTCAATCCTTCACCAAAGCAGAATTTTGACTTAGGTACAGTCAGGCTATCAAAAAAATCCACATAACTAGGAATGCTCCTCCAAGGTAACTACAGAAGAAACACAAGTGATAGACAGGCACTTTGGCCTCCAAATTAGTGTTTAGTGTATGATTGCCTGATTTAAGCCAGAATCAGATTTGCCCACTTCATAGAATGCAAATCCTTTCCCATAGCAGGATTATGAAGAACAAGGTATTAAAAAACATAATAAAAATCATCATCATAACTGGACAAATAACTTCAAAACCACACAGCAAAAAGGACTAATGAAATGGAATTGGAATGTAGGTAACCCAGAAGATAAGCTCTGACCATTTTTTTGCCAGGAAATATTTTTAATATTTTGACGTCTTGTGTTTTTCTGCATATCTAGGTCCAACATAAAATCTTTCCATAGTATTTTACTTCAATGGTCCATTTTATACTATACCTATTTAATGCTTGCAACATTCAATACGTTTGCGCAACCAGTTCTATATTGGACATCTACAAAATATAAAAGAAAAAAAAATTTGATCAAGAATACTAGATCACAGTAAATGTAACAGAAACCAGTATCTGATAAATCTGAACTCCTGCCTCAAAGAAGAGAAGGTCAGAAACTAACAAACCTTTAACAAGTTTTTTAACAATTTGAATCAAATCAATATTTAAAATGTTGATGAAATAAATGAAAATATGTGTCAAAAGCTTCTCAAGATATTTGATGGTAAGAGTGTAAAGGAGCCAAGCAGTAGCAAAAATGATCCGACATAAATTTGTTTCAGACTATGAAGCTACATCACTGAAACAGCATTAGTTTACCAGCAGGGCACAAGCCCAAGAGAAAACCCTTTTCATAACATGTCTGACTGCTGCCAGTGAGGATGTTAATCACCACCAGCTGGTGAACCACACCCTGGATAACATCAATTCTTACATGTAAATAACACTTCTAATAAATTTAATTTGCAGTTCTTTTTTTCTGCCTAATGACATGAAACGAATTCTCAATGATGTTTTTAAAATATGAACACCTACAACTGTTCAGCTAACAAATTGTAGCGTTTTATTATTCTTACAGGGCAGCAATGATAGTTAATTCTTAACGGTTAGAAACGTAGAGTTTCCTGATGTCTCGACACAAGGAAACCCACAGAAGCTTCTCTCCCACCTGTCATTTCTCAGGACCCCATAAGGGCTGGGAAGGTTAAGCAGGACCAGAGCAGGAGCCCCAGCTCTCCCTGCCCTGCAGGGCTCTGCAGAGCCTTGTGGCAAGCTTGGCCATGCTGAGGGAGCCTTCCCTTCCCAGCAGTTGCCTTTGCTCCAGACCGCTCTCTGGTTGCCCCAGCAGCACGATGTGGTGCTTCAGGGCCCAGTAACGCCCCCTACCACCCACTTGAAATCTCCCCCGTTTCCTTGACATCGCTGACCCAACTCCCTCATTGCCCTCAGCCTCAGCTGCTGCCTCCCCTGGCCAGCTCAGTGCTGGGGTGATGCTCTGTGCCCACCTGCATGGCTAGCCCTGGCACTGCTGCCCCTCACGGAGGCTGCTGGCCTGACCCTGTGGTGGCAGGATAGTGGCAGTAGGGCAGCCCTGTCCACTTGGCCCATCCTTCATGGGTTGCTGCTGAGAAAACACATCCCATTTGAAACAATTCCAGAAGAAAGGAATAAAATGTCAAAGGCTGGCACTCTCAGGTGGTTTGGTGTGACCAAAGGTGGCCACCACACTCCCTGCCCAGCTGTGGGCTGCTCATGCCCTGCCTGTTAGAGTGGCAGCTGTCAGCTGTGTGGTATAAGGCACTTGCGGGAAAAACTTCAAACAAATAGCCTAATCTAGTACAATACATTATAAAATACAATTTTGTGGCAGGCCTCGCATTAGTTCTGAGCAGGGGTCAGGTAACTAGATCCTCAGTTCACAAATAATGGTGCCAGTTCAACTGGAGGCTCAGCAAACAGCAGTGCAAAAATGAGTGACCAAGAAGAGGAAAAGGTCTTCTCAACTTGGCTTACACCTCTGAGGCCATCATTTTCCCAGCTACCTTCTGAAGTTTTGCTGCTCATCCAAAATTGCAGAAGCAGGAGTTATAATGGTGAGGTCAATTCAAGCCATGACTAGTCAATACAATATTAAAAACTTTAGTCTGCTTCTACATTGAATCACAGAATGGTTTGAGTTGGAAGGGACCATGAAGATCATCCCATTCTGAATGATTAGTTACTTTCAACATAATTACAACCTAAACATCATGCTTTAACACAACTGTGGTGTGAAAATAAACTCAGAGAGAGAAGCTGGGAAGATTGTGAGGCTGACTTGTTTTTCTTAGTAGAGTTTCTTAAAGTCTACATTGAAAGCAGTTGAATTTTCAAGTGAATCCTAATCCCAGTTGCAATTAAATCTTCTTCTGAATGAGAACCAGAGTGCATCTGTGTCCTTAACAGCTAAAAAAATGATGCCATTATATTTTGGTTGAATTAAAGTCAAGATATTTCTTCAAAACATACAACTTATTCATGTTTGTTTTATTAAGGGAATAGAGAATCTCATCTTTTTTTCCAGCCAGTGAAACATTGTTAACCTTAAAGCTTATTGGGGATTGTAAAACTCCTTTATCATCAATATAATTCCATAGTTCACTTGCAGAGTACTGAACTTGACCCCGCAGACTGCCACAAGTCCATAGACTACAGCAAAGGAAGTACAGGGGGAGAAAACATCATCTTGAATATCAAACTACACTTTCTTTGGCCTGTCTAGATAAGCTATGATTTTAAAGACTGCACAAATCACATATTTGGAAAAAAAAATCAATTTTTTTGTATTTGTGTTGCAAACATTCTTATTCAAACAACTCTCTAGCTGAGTGCTTTTATTTAGAAAGGAAAAATTATTTACTTAAGAGTGTTGGTAGAGGAAATGTCTGTTGCATGCACACACTGACTTTTTACAGCTGAATTACATGTGGTTGTAAACATCATAACACTAGGAAACAAATAATTTTAATATGCTTTTAATATAATCAAGAAAGTAAAGAAACTTTTGAATCCTAAACAGAATCTAGTTTAAGAACATTTACATTCATTTGATTTTTAATTGTACATTAGTAACGAATAATTTTTGTAAGGAAAAGAGTATGTCCATGTACTCAGCATTCCTGCAGTATTAGCTCTAGGTGAGGAATCTAAAATCCTGAAAAATAAGAAAAAGCATTAGCTGTTGATTTAACACTAAGTATTTAAAATATGATAGAGGTATAAAATACATTAGAAAACAAAGCATTATAACATTGGTCACTGATCTGTAAACACTGATTGGTGTTTACAGAGCCACTGTGCTGTCTACCCTCTTATATGGATCTGAATCATGGATCATCTACCGCCACCACCTGTGACTCCTAGAACGCTTCCATCAACGCTGCCTCCGTACAATCCTAAGCATCCACTGGTCAGATTATGTGACCAATACATCTGTTCTAGAACAAGCATCGAGGTCATGTTGCTGAGAACACATCTGTGCTGGGCAGGGCACGTCTCCAGGATGAAGGACCACTGCCTCCCTAAGATCTTGCTTTATGGGGAACTTGCCATCCGCTACTGCGTGAGAGGAGCCCGAAGAGAAGATACAAGGACTCCCTGAAACAACATCTCAGCCTTGGCCGTATTGATCAACATAACTGGTCTACTCTGGCCTCCAATCAGGAGGCCTGGAGACACACCATCTATAATGCTGCTGATGCCTTTGAGAAAGCACGCAGGATCACCCTTAAGGAGAAAAGACAGCGCAGAAAGAATCGTGCCTTGCAGAATATACCACCTAAGGAGTCTTTCTGCTGTGCCTTTTGCAACCGATCATGCCTATCTCGTACTGGCCTTTTTAGCCACCAGCGCGCTTGTAACAAACGTGGGTAGAGCCCTTCCCAAATCTTCGTTCGTGAAGCCTGGCCATGATGATGATGATATTGGTATTCTTTTTTATATCTCTCAAAATAGTTGAATGCTTTGAAATTAAACCCTGAAGTCTTTACTTAGTTTCAGTGTGAGTTTTATGTCTTTAAGATTAGGGGATTACCTCAAGGATGTCAGTTTACTTCTCAGTATGTATGTGACAGGTAGTTGGATCAGTTCTTTCTTACATATACTTATCATCATCAGTAACTTTCCAAACTGTTTACAGTTCTTGCTGCCTGAAACGCCTCTGTGTTTTCTGTTCTAGGAACTGAGTAGCTACAGTTTCTATTCACTTCTTCTGAAAATCAGTGTATTTAACACATCCGAGAGAAGTTTGTGGGTGGAAATCTAAGTTGACCCCACAGTTAAAAGCTTTCTGAGACTACTTTTCAACATAAATGTGGTGGTCTATATGTATAAAAATAAACTAATTTACATGTAAATCATGATTAAAAGTATTAAATAAATACCTCCTTAGCGAAAATCCACTGATCTCCTTCCATTACGTGGCTGAAAGAGAAATATTCAATAAGCGCTTTATAAAACTGACAGGATTTAGTAACAAAGCCCAGACAACTTAGTGTGTATAGAAGTTGGCAAACTTCTCAGCTCTGTCAATGTGATCATCATCGAAGATACACCTGAGATAAGTTATTGTTTAAACTATATCTATCTCCGGAGGAGAATTATACAGTAAAATTTACTGCATATAGATTGAAGAATGAATTATACCTATTTTGTATGATTTTATAACTGGGAGAAAGCCATAAGAAGTCATTCTAGGAGATCATTATCCCTTATTCTTTTTTGCATTTTCTTAAAATGTGCTGATTGTTGTTATTATAACATTATAAGTGTATGTTTCTATTAACAAACAACTGTATGTCACTTTTTGGTTTTAGACTGTGTTCTTTAGCATAGGCAAAGACCTCCATTTTCACTATGGTCATTTTCAGAAATATTTTGCACTACTGAGGGACTCGATACAATTTCTACTAAAGCTGATAAAAAATTTCTTACTGAGCTTTATAAGGATTTGCCTTTTACACTGGAAGCTTGAATGCACCAATATTAGTATTACTCAAAACTTTGGCCTGTCTTAACAACTATAAAGATTCAAGCCTGATACATAAGAGATAAAAATTTGTGCTCTTTTCATTAGAATCATAGAATCACTTAGGTTGCAAAAAAGACCTCTAATATCATTGAGTCCAACCCTAGCTCCATTCTTTTTAAAGCCATTAGCCACTTTCTCATTTAAGTAGAAAGAAATAGTAATCAAAATCAAGGGAACTATTATTAAGTCTGACTTGCCATCTTCTCAGTTTTGTCAAAATGAAGTAAAAAGGCAACATGGCATAAAAGATGAACACAATAGATTCAGTCTCATGAGAATTTCTGTATTTAATGTCTCACCTTACTGGTCAATATGTAAGGAAAACGTCAAGGTCAGGCCTAATAGCTGTTTTAATACAGTGTGTAAGCATGGCACTGTATTTATATCATATGCAAATGCACCATGTTGAACAACACTTTAGAAAGATTGTCCAAGATTGTCATATTTTCTAGAACTTTCTCTGAAAATTAAATACATAATGACCAATAACTTCTTAAGGTATAGCATGGTATCATGTATACACAAACCTAAAACTATTTTTAAAAATTCCTATTATGCCTTTATTTTAATCCAAGAAAAAGTCTGAAACAGATCTTAAGTAGTCCTATACAGTGTAATGCTTTTCCTGAAAAAAGTTTCCTCAGTCACAGCAATTTTTCTGTAATTCAGTGGTTTCTCTACCTTTTTTTTTTTTTTTTGGTAGCTCATCACAAAATGAAAAGAAAAAAGTCAAACAAACCATACCCTGTAGAAGAAGTAGCCTCTGCTTTGAATCCCTCCAGGTCCTTGAAGTTCCTCCTGGAAAAAAAGTATTTCAAATTATATCTACTGCTGTAGATTAATACATATAGACAGGTAGTTTATGTGCATTTTAAAAGTATTTCTTCAGTACTACGACACAGTCTTGCCCCTTAAGGAATGCTTTATGTGCATTTTTCCATGTCAGTAACAAGAAGTTCATGTTGTCATGTAGAAACAGCAGAAAACATATGAATGGGGGCCAAATTCCACCTGAAGTTTTAGCTCAGCTCAGATTGCTTTAGAATGGTACTAGAAATGATGAGCAGCCTTTGCCTTTGACTTTCCAGGTTTCATTACCCAGACACAGCCACAGTGTCTTCATGGTGGTGGAGTCTCTACAGATAGAGCTGGCTTTTGCATCTTGCAGAAGGACAAGAGTGTAAAGTTTAAATATCAGAAATACTTGGGATCCTCCCAAGAATGAGACCCCAGACTGTTCCCAGAGGTGTACCATTTCACACATCAACTCCTTCACACATTAACTCCCAAAGACCACTGCTTATGATATCCTATCCTGTCTGTGCTGCACACATGGAGGAACAACTCTCTAGTGATCCATACAGCAAGGAGGGTAACAAATGATGGAAGAAAATAGAAATTCCATTTATATGTAACAAGTACAAGGAATGAAGTACCAGTTGCTTTAATGAGACCTTCACAATTAGAGAACACCTAAGCTTAATTACAGTATTTTATTTGCTTCTGGTATCAGATACAAACGATGTGCCTGTCCTGCAGGTGGGGAGACAGGCCAATTGAGAAACAAAATAGTTCAAACCTTATGCTTACCAGAACACAAAATTTAGATGGCATTTATTCAGCAATGGTGGTATTTCTCAATTAAAAACTGGAGTCATATGTTCTCTCATATGATACCCAAATATCATAACCTGAGGTGTCATAGAAAGAAATCACTTTTATTATAAAGCTGTGAGAAATGTGTGAAACAGGATGACTCCCATCATTTTCAAACAAAGGAGTAGATTCAGTCCAGGGAAGCTTTCAAAGGAAGTAGGGTTTAAACTATACATAATTTTTGAGTCTTGATTTTAATTCTGACTTCAGTTTACCAGCTATAGCATTATACTCAGTTCCTTGCTGTGTGTAAAAATCTGTATGATTTTTATTTATATTGTCCATCTCATTCCAGCATTAACAGGGTTTGAAATACCCATCTTGGATTTATAATCTGTTCACTACTTCACTACTATTGTTTTTTTATATTCCAAAAGGATAAAAATTTTTCTGTCAATGGAGCCTTGTCCATTGCCATTGGAGTGTCTAACAGTATTTATATGTCATTCTTTTTCTACTTTTTCTATTCAAAATTGAAAATGGAAACAAAATAGACAGCTGTTGCAAGTTTAGGAAATTATCTAGAACATGAAAAGAATGAAGAGTACAATTACTCATGAGGAATTGTGATTTACGTTAATATATCATTCTCTGCTTACAGCCAGACACCTCTTAAACAAGTTTACATAGTGCTCCTGTTTGATTTCATGACAGAAGTTTAGTATCAGAAAACAATTGAAGCTAAAAATCGGTCATTGTTGTAACACTTTCCTTTTAAACTTCCAAGGGTTTGGAAATGTTAAAAAATAAATACATGCTGTAGTATATATGTACACAGAAATATATGTATTCATGAAGATGTATGATTATTTGGGTTTTTATCTTAAAGCCTGCCCTCTAGAAGGTATCTTGCTCAGTCTCATAGATTGACTTGCCAGCAAAATGCTTGTCTCTTCTTTTTAGATCATATTCTATCAGGCAAGATGTATGTCAAGAGAAATCAAATCTGTGACAAAATCTTGTGTTGGTCCAAACTGGGAAGAATGAATTCAATAAGCAGGTTTCCTCCTTCACCCATCCACCTTTATAATTCCTCATCTAGTCAGGGAGAGAGGTGTAGTATGTTTATGTACATACAGCAGGTTCTGGTTTTCTTCCCAATATGAGGGGACAAAATGTCAGCAGCAAGATAACCCTTCCTGAAACACACTCCATGACACCAGTCAGGTAGTCCAATCAAAATATATGAGCAGAAAGGTCTACAACAACATTTTTAGAAGAGCTAATGAATAACAAAGTGTGAGAGCACAAGCAGGCAGAATTTAAGTTTACATACGTCCACTTTGTATCTCTTCAGTCTTCTCTCATTAAGCTGAGGAACGAGTTGCAGTAAAGGATGCAGGACAGACGACTGAGAGGACATGAACACAGACACATGAACAATAATGAAATTGGGACTTGATGCAAAAAAAGTCTCTTCCCACAGTATTGGCTTATGGACCAAATATGCACCAAAAAAGGACCGAAGATGTTAATTGAGAAACGTTTTTTAACATTTTGACTTGACAACAAACAGGTACAAACATTTATACTATGGATGTGACTCACAAAGTGATGGAGGGAAAAGCCATGCATCCTCACCTTTACTAATTGAAAGTTCAGAACCATTTTCATACTACTGCAACTATTCAGACTTTGATCAGTCTTAGGAGTGGTATAGAGAGTATTTCCATACAGTATTTCTATTAACACTTCTATGATTATCTATTATGGAAATTAGCAGCTTCAACTTAAATGGCAGCAAGAAAAATTATTCGTTTTTTGCTAGAGAACAGTGCACAGGAGGGATACCTTCTCAAGTGACACTTGTAACCATAGAACTGGTTACTATATCTAAGCTCCAATCATGAAATAACTTGTGTTCACAAGACTTTAAGCCTGGAGACAGCCTGGTTAAGCACAGTGGCATTGTGTGCAGCCTAAGTGCCCACCCTGGCAAAACACAACCATGTGGGCTTGTGGAGAGGTCCACAGTGAGAAATAAAGTAGAAAAACCCATGTTCCTTTAACTAATTTAGACCTTCAACTCATATAAACGTAATTTTTAAAAAAATGCATTTTTGATACAATACTTCTTAGAAAGTAATGCAATGAAAAGAATTGTAATATATGGAGTAACCGGTTACCAAAGTGCTACTGTACTTAATAGATAAAATAATAAGCTTGCCTATTTGGAGCCAATTTTGCATTGGTCTGCCTAAGGTAGGCAATATGGCATCATAGCATCTAAAAAAAGTAGAAGTCTGATGTGAATGAAGGAATTTAAAGATATCCCAGCTGGTCACTTCAGCTCTGTCTTGTAGCCAGTGGATAGAGGTTATAAAGCTAAGGAATGATGGATCCCACCTAAGTTAGTATCTCCGAGAACTGGACTAGAAAATAGTCAACTGAATAGCTAAACCAAAAGTGAGAAAGCAGTAATCTCTGGGAGCAGCAGCAAAGGTATTCAGGATAGTGATGAAGTGGGATGCAGTAACCCTTTAAGCAGGAGAAGCAGCAGAACTAGCTCATTTCACTGTGCCTTGATTACTGTTAAAGCCTCCAAAGCATCTCTATCATGAAAACACTGACCACAATATCAGCAATATCACTTTCTAGGAAATACACTACATATTTCTGAAGAAATGTAATGAACAAAGCAGAAAAGGACACAAAGATGTAAGAATGATTGGTAAGAAACAAGAAAATATGAATATGTTTAGCTTTCTCAAAATCCTATGGTGCATAGATGCAAAGTATGTTTGCACTTTAAAAGCAAGAATGGATCACACATAGTTGAATTGTTGGTTTATGACAATACTTTTATAGCAACAATACTTGATTATGTTTTAAATCATATTTTTCATTCAAAATACAATCCAAAGTTTGAGTAAGGGAAATACTATTTTGCCTGCTACATAATTATAACATGTGCAAATGAATTCATGCAGTTTAATTAATAATTAACAAAAATGTATTAAGAGTTCTTAATAGTTATGGTCATATTCTCAGCTCCTGTAAGTCCACATTGTTTCACTGCATATGCTATGTTCCAATAGCAGAAAAAGCATTTCACCTCATTCTTAAAATTTGAAACTACAAGATTAAGATTCAGTTGGGATTCCACAAATGTTTGATCAGGTTTGTTAGGGTATGGGGTTTTTTCCACACCTGTAAGTATTGATGATCCCCTCCCACGTTATTAAAACACATTCTGTATCTTAAACATGCAATTCCCAGTCCCGAGCTTTCTATACAGTTGGAGACACTACTGCAAAAAGGAACATTGCTTTGGTTTTATATACAAGCACACGTGTACTCACAAGGAGTACTTACCACGATGTCTGAGTTGCCCGAGTCATGAGTCTTAGAATAATGAAATAAGAACTGTTCAAAAAAATTAAAAATGGAAGTTTACTACAAAACAGGGCAAGGGTGTTATGATCTTCTTGCCAATTTTAGTGTGACCGTAAAACATACATAGACATCTTACCCTTTTGGTGTTGTCTTTTTCATCTAAACCCTGTGGGAATAATTGGTAGAGAGGCTTTTATTTATTAAAATAAAAACAGCAATGGACAATTTTGATTACATCATAAACTTTTCAGTACTGGATTGTGTCATAGGTTTATTTGTTCCAAAAATCCAAGCGGAAAATTTTCCTTTCCCCTGTCACGCTGTAAAAGAAGGTGTTGAACAATGGAGGGGGAAGGGGTGATTGACTATACAGAAGAACTAGCTGGCAGACCTGCATTCCAGGCTGATAGCATTCTCTAAGGCTGGAGGGGGTGTATGGGGGAGCAGTTTTTCTCCCCTCCTCTCTTTGGAAAGAGACACTTCACTTTCTGCCTTCACAGAGGCAAGCGGTGTGTGTGTGTGTTGGACAAGCTCAGAGGCTGTTTTGCTCTCGACCTGGTCATCTGGTTGCTCTCCGGCCTCTGCTTGCCTGCACACTGCCCTGTCCCCAGCCCAAATCTGCTCAGAATTCATTGGAGAGTTTGTGCTCATCGATGAAAAAAGGGGAGCCCCGACCACAGCCAGCCGCAGACAGCGTGAGTTTAGTGTGAAGGAACCCGCCCTTCTTTCCCCCGTTCCCCTTCCCCTCCTCGGTGTGTGGGGGGAAAGCTCCATTTTCCGGGTTCTGCGCCGGAGCCCAACAGCGCCCCCTGCCGGCCAACACCGAGCACTGCAGGCTCTGCTCCGCCAGAGATCCAACAGCGCTGCTGCCAACCGGGATTAGAATCGCACCAGAGGACAGAGAAGTATCAAACTGTTTCCTTTCTGGAGGGGACTTTTAGGTACAGGATTATTGTTTATCTGCTTTTGTGTTCTTTTGTTGGTTTTGCCTGTGTACATGTATCCTTTAATAAAGGTTTGTTATTTCTTATTTTTTCTGTATTTCCTTGATTGGAGCCTCTTAATTTTGGATTTACAATTGCTGAGAGAGGGGAGTTTGGTCTACCTCATAACTCATCCTCCTTAGCAAAACACTTCATTCTCCTTAAACTGAGACAGATTGGAACATCATTCTTCCTTGACATATTATATGTCCTTGTTTATTAATGAAACTAATCTTTTCAAACTCTGTAGACAGCATTGATCACTCTGCCCTAGAAGAGGCAGATGTACATCCCTAGACCCTAAGCAAATCTCTTCCTTCCCTGAGAGCTCATAATTTTTCTTATCTAGAGCAATAAAAACACCAAAAACCTTGTATCCAACCTGGAGATTATTTTCCAAACATTAATGTCTCCCTCTTATCTTTAATAGGTGTTGGATGCTGACACATAGCATTCCAGAGCAAAACCTGATAGTATTACTTCCAGTGCTAAGTGACATTTCAGATACTGGGTCCTCAGAATTCATTCTAGACAATGGCACAGTGAGATCAGACTTCAGAAATGCTGAGTAATCTTTTGTGTGTTTTACCTGTGGTTTTGGGAGAAATCCCATGACCAAAAAACAAAGTTCTTCCAGTGTGCTGGACACCTAATGCAAAGAAAACATGAAATTAGGTATCACACTTTCAATTCTACTATGTATAACAAATAGTAAGACAAGTATAAAGTAACCTTTGTCTGACTCACCTGAGGCTCAGAATTTGTGGACAGGTAGGCAGAACATGCATCATCTATCTGTAAAAGTTCACACAGTCTTTTTTTAAGAAGTCAGATTAATAAAAAGAAGTGAAATACATATATTTTCATAAACAGTTCAGTACAGCTAAAGGCATGGCAAGCTTGTCTACTGCCAGACATCCTTATAGGTCCAACCATTAAATACTTTGCATTCAAAGGGGGTAAAAGGCCTTAACCACATAACTAAACCTCAACTTATACTTGTTTGATTGAACAAACATAAATATCTATGTCCTTTATTCTCTTGACTGTAAGCTGTAGAGGGGTTGGAACTAGATGATCTTTAAGGTCCCTTCCAACCCAAACCATCGTGTGTTGCATTCAGTTCAAAACAAATGTCCATTTAGCTCTACAACTTATCTCCATAAATGGCCAAATGTCAACACCTGGGAAAAGCCTAAGACAAGATCAGTGGTAAAGAAAAGCTCATGCTCTTCAACCACCAGCAATTTGTAATGCAAGCACTTTGAGTTGGAAGCAGGTCTTTGCAATAAAGGTCCATGAACCTCTGTGCCACGAATTTGACCAATGTCTCTCTGATCTACATTATACTTTCAGCATCCACAGTGTCCCGTGCCAACAGTTACCTAAACATTTTGTGAAATACTACTATTGTTTGTCTTCCTCAGTCTTTTCAAACCTATCTTCATTCAATGCTGCCATAATCTTGTCTTGGAAAAAGTACTGCGTAAGTGATTCCTAGCCACCCTCTCCCTATTGTTCATAACCTTGTATTAATTACATCTTCCTTCTTTTCTGAGATGAAAGAATCCCATAATACTGAATAATTTTTAGTGGAGTTAATATTAGAGAAGGGATAAGAAATGGAATAAAGGGTATTTGAATTCACGGAGGTAATTTTGCCAGTGCTGAAGGCTCAAAGTATTCTGTAAGGAAAAGAGAGGATCTCTGGCACTCATTATTAAACAGTTGCACAGTTTAATAATGATGGAAAAAAGCCGGTTAAATTTTTATTATATAACCTTAAAGTTGTATGAATAGTAACCTCCTTCAGTATGTGCTACTTTTTTTGATAATATTTGATAATGTTAGATGCCAAAAATCTTGGCTGATTATCTTGTTCAAAGACTGCACAAAAAACCATAAGTTTATTTGGTTTATTTTAAATAGAGTAGACAATGCAATTGTTCTTACAATTTTATTATAGCTAAAAAGCCCTGAACGGCACTCTTTAGCAATGAGAGCACTAAAAGAAAAAAGCAATAAAAAAAATATAATGCATATCTGAGTACCTCAAGATGAGATGATTCATTTCTCTAGAGACAATCTACGAGAAAGCATTAGCAGATATAGTGGGAAAACTAACAGCTCACAGAATTCCCTTTTCAAATAGGCTTTGTTGGTAACACATCCTTTCCATTCTCTTTTCCCTTCAACTTTCCTATGTTTGTCTCTGGGTGTGTTAGTTCAGCTTCACTACTTTCAGAGTAAGAAAACATAGAGGGAGAAACCAGTCAATGAGATAAAACTAAGCTGAAGTCATTTGGAAGCCTATGTTAAAAGAAGTCTGTTTCTTAGCAAAAGATTGTTTGTGTTTATTTGTTTATTTGTTTATTTGCTTGACTCAGAACTACCATATTTCAGTAGCAGAACAAGCCAGAGACTGTGTTCGACACAATATAAGGCAAGGTATCTCTCAGGTAAAACTTTCATGGACAAATCAAGGGTTAAGGAAAAGCCAGAGTTTCTGTTAATTCCTTTATTAAAAAAAAAAATAATAGTTTCTATCTTTGATGCATCTTCTCTGTAGTTTTCTCCCCTATTTCAGAAATGTGGATTTAAGGCAGGGGATTACAAGTTATTTGGATTTGGTTAAATAACATAAAGAAACAAAAGGAACTGAGAGACAAGTAAAGAAACAAAATACTTAGTTAGAAAGTTCTCATATTTATAAACTCAGAGTCATTCCTGGAAAATACTTGATTTATTTAAAGGCAGGTCTTCTCCTGAATGATCCACTAGTAAAGTAGCAAACAGGGAAGAATGATTATTTTCACTTTGAGAAACTCCAGTGAACTAGTATGAGTGTGTAGTCAGTTGACTGAGAACATATAGCTATGTATCTAATTCTTTCTCCTTAGACCCTTTCCAGTCCTGCATAATTCTTGCTACAATGGTAACTTTTATATTGCTTCTATTATATAATTTTATAGAATTTAGTATCTTATGTCTACCATTTTCTTCACTGAAATCAACAGGAACTTTGCTTTGTTTCCAGTCACCACAGGGACAAATCCTGTGTTACAGCTAGCAAATCTTATCAAGAAATGCAGAAATGTACAAAACAGCATTTTTAATCCAGAATGAAATAATTGATTTTCAAAAACTCCTTATAGTTATCAGGATCTTACTTCCCAAGAGACCATTTTTCCCCAGGAGATAAATATCACTACAGCTCATTCAAGTGCCAATATGTTGGATTTTGAGTCAGTACTTCCAATATGAACTATGGGGAGATGACAGCAAGGGTAATGCCTCCTGTAATGGTCTCAATAGGAAGAAATTTACTCTCTGCATCAGCAGCCCTGATGAGTCACTTGCTTTCTAATGTTATCAAAAGCTACTAAATTAAATGTCAACACAATAATTGAAGGTTACAGCAACACCAGGGCATGCAAGTTGCAGGCTAAACCCTCTCCACATGTTATGCCCTGCCACTCCATCTGTTCCAAAAGGGCACAGAAGAGCCTGTATTAACATATATGTCACATCTCAGAGTCAAAACAAATGTTCATTTCAGAGATTAGAGTGGAAGTTATGATGCCAACTGTTAGCAAAATGTTAGAGCGGCTAATTGGCACAGTATATTATCTTTTACCTTTACCTAGTAAATTAAGAGGTTAGGATAGGATTAAATAGTGCCCCAGTCCTGTGTGCAGAACAGAAGATGAAAGAGGTAAGACCAGGTGAGTTGAAACAATTCCTGCATATAACATACAAAACTACCAGGCAGGACCATGTGTTTCTTCCAGGAACAGTGGCTGCCTGGTCACTGACAGTTAAGTGACAACTGTTATCAAACATAGCTCTCCATTGAGACAAGACAGTCTTTTCTCAGAATGATATCTCAACACTCAGACCCAACATCCTCTTGAAGCAACTGCTAAGAATCTCTGGAAAATCAGGTATTTCACCTCTTGGCTGATGCCAAGATAGGAGACACACAGGACTGGAAGAAAATGAACCTGAACTCCACGCAAAAGAAATAGTGAGGTGTGACTGTAGCAAAGATGGGCACAGAAGAAACAGGAGTATACCACATGGTAGATGATGCTTACCTCTTTCCAAAGCTGCAAATCCTCATCTGACTCAAATGCTTGAGATGGCATCGGTGCACCTGGAAGCATAAACTGTGCTTACCAATGCTGTCCAGTAAAAGGTCATTTGTGTAAGTATCCTGTGTCAGAGATTTAAATAAAAACTCTGAACATGCTAGGATACCTAACACACTTACTAACTGCAAAGTCTGAGAGCTGCACAATCCAAGGAAGTCTGCTGTCCTGAGTGTTTTGGGATTTGTCCAGTAGTTTCTGCCTGCTGTATGTTAGCAACACAGCAGGATGCTTCTTCACAAGTTCACAGCAGAGACAGATGTATCTCAGTGTGTAAGTTGTTCAGGACTCACTGAGGGTCAGGCTAGCATTAGTCCCTTCTCAGTGACAAGCAGAAGGCAAGAAAATTTGCATGGCAGCCCTTGCATATTAAGACCTGCTCAGGAAAGCACGTTCCAGTGCCTACAACTTAGCGCTTTCCAAAAACTCTGCTCACCTCCAGCACATGCAACGCAAGTTGAGAATCTGGATTCTACCTCTTGCCTTCTTGTATGCTACAACTAAATAATTAAACATTGCTATGTAACATACACTTGCATACGAAGAATACCCATGACATGAACAAGGTGTTTTTGAAAAGGTGATAGACAGTACATGTATAACTGGTATTGTTTCCTCTATTTGACATATGTGATGTGAAAAAGTTTGGTCACTTAGAAGATTAAATGTGTTATTAATTGCAAAATGCTGCAGTGATGCTGTGCTTGGCTTGGGGCAGCTTTCTCCATGTCTGTCCATCCAGGCTGCAGAACTGGAAGTCATTGTACCAGAGTTCCTTCCAACTCAGTGCCCACAATATCCCCCCTTACACTGCCAGATAAAATAACAATGTTGTATTTTTAACAGCAATGTTACAGCCTCTGTAAAAAATAGAAATAAGCATCACCAAATTGTGAGTATACTAGACACCACACAAGTATATCAGTGAGGTGTTGTAACTCCCCTGGGAGGGAGACTGGTGCTGGAGAGGGTCATGCTTTATCTGTACATGCCTAGCACCACAGGAAACACTACAAAGTTATCTAATTTATCCCCATGCTCAAAGGTGCTGACCGTGAGCCATGCTTAAACTGTTTATACACTGTTCTTAAAAGACCTCAGATTAATAGAGATTTTATAACCTCCTAGGAAGTCTAAAACTATGTGTGGTCACATTTTTTTCAAGGTATTGAACTGAATTAAACAAAAAAAGAGGTGAAGGTAGACTTATCTTGAAAGGCCAGGCAAGGAGTGTGTGAATGCCCATCATGTTCGTTTGTTTTGTATGTACTCCTAATAACAATAATCACAACAGTAGTTAGTTTCAGGCATTAGCAGATGGATTTCAAAACCACATGTTGGTACTGGCACAGACTTAAGGTGACTAATTATTCTGGATGTTTGCTTTCCCTTAAAAATAAGAATTAGACAGGCTCTTAATTTCACACTATACAGAAGTGGAATATTTTTTTTAAATCTCCAAGATGTTCACATAACAAGAAAACTGCTTTCCTGTTGTTTGTTTCATTTCAAGTAAAAATGTCAAATAAAGACACTACAGTTGTCTTACTTCATTTTCTACTCTTAAATTAGTGTATTCAAATTGAGGTATTGCCTGGGACTGGTATCCTGATTGCAAAGAGTGGAACTGGGTAACACTTCAAATTAGCACACCTTCCCCATCAAACCATTGCCTGCCTGTCTCTGAACACTGTTTCTGCCATTGCCTGGTTCCCAAGGCTTTTCAGGGGGAGCAGAAGAAATCCATTCACCTGTAAGTCTTAGGGCAGCAAGAAAGAAAGCCTGAGTATTACAGCTTCCTTTTTCTCCCCCCCCCCCCAACTCCTACAGCAGAAACTTTTGGGTCAGAGGAGGGAAATTATTTCACCAGCTCTCAAGTTTTCTTAATCCTTCTCCACTTATTCAAAAACTCTTATTTCATGTATAGTCCCATCTGTTTTGTGCTCACACGTAGGACTGTGTTCCTCCAAGGGCTAAGCAGTGTCCCTTTATCACCCTGTCCAGAACAGTGCTGCAGTCCCTACAGGACTTCATTCATTTACACACATACACAAAAACACACACAGTGAAACATTAGATTATTTTGTAATATACTCAAAATAACTATAGGGGGGAAAAAAACCAAACAAGATAGAAGAGAGTGCTATTGAGAAAAGCAATCCTATTCAAAAGGCATATGGAGGAGGAAATCCTACAAAATCGACATTGCCCACAATACATTTACTCTTTTGTCCTTCAATTCTGCCAACTTTTAAAATCCCAACTTCTTTCAAAACAGTAGAATGCCAGATGCACAACCTAGACTCACATCTTACATCTTCTCATCCCTCCATTGCTCTCCCTAAACCAGCTCCTGGCAATCATTTGTGTAAGAAAAACAATTCAATACTATGCACCATTGCCCTTTGCTGCCCTCCTTTTCCTTTCCTCCCCTCTTCCACTTCTTCAGAATTTATTTTTAACATGATATTAAGTATACTGTACTTAGATTTCTTTAATTGTTGGTATTAAAAAACGCGACAAATCAGAACAAAAACTCACAATTAAAACAATCCACACACATATAATACAAACAAAATGGAAATAATCCTTGCATAGCATTTTGTGACGTTACTTCACTAGGTGTTAGTAGTTAATCTGTCTGGGGTGGGAAAATACAATAAGAAAGAGTATGGTTTGTTAAGCAGCCCATCAGTCCTTTCACAAGCACTCCCTGATACAAAAATAGCACCTTTTAGTATTTCTATTCCAATAAATATTGCTACAGGTTGGACTAAGTGACTGCCAGAGGGTCCTAAATTTTCCTGCAATTCTGTGATACATCTTTTTTCTTTTCTCACCTTTCAAATCAGAGTAAACGACATTTAAAATTAAACCGCTTTTAACAGAAGTCAATTCTCCAAGTTGCTGGAGTGCAGTTTTGGCAAGGACAGAGTAATCCCACCGGAATATGCGAAGAAACCTGTCAGACCAATCCCCGAAACTGCTCCCAGCAGCTGCGACCCTCCTGCGCATCCTTACACACACACCCCCACCCCGGGGCACCCAGGCAGCGGCTCGCTCCGCACCCTCCGCAAGGCTGGCAGGCTGTGGGGGCACCCCTCGCTCCTCAGATAATGTGCAGAGCTGGCAGAGCAGGAAGGGCTTGCGAGGGGGATGCTCCTCACCTTTGCAATAAGACATCGAGGAGGCGAGGAGGAGGAAGAGGAGGAGAAGCGGGGATCCGGGCAGAGCCGCGCCGTCCCCTGCCTTCCTCAGGCTGCGCTGGGGGGTGGCCGCGGCGGGCTGATGGTGGCAGAGGTGTCCCATGCCCGCGGAGTGCCCGGCGCCGCCGCTCTGCCAGCAGCTCTTCTGGGCATGTCCTTGCTCCCTGCCCCAACTTTTTAAATCTCCCCGACACGTGGACGAGCCCCAGCCTGGCTCGGGGAGGGCTGCCCCGCGCCCTCCGGGATCGGCCCCACTGCCGGGGCGTGACTCACCTCGCTCCGCTCCGCTCCGCCCCGGGGGTAGGTCCGCTGGGACCTCGGCTGGGGCGGTGGATGTCCCTGATTAGCACGGAGGGAAGGGGCTGGCCAGGCTCCAGGACTCTATTAAACCCCCTCCTTATTAAAATCCATGTTTTAGCCCCCCCCTCCCCGAGCCCTGGCGGGAGCCGCGGTGGCCGGCTTGAAAGGTGCTGCTTCTCCCCTGCCGTGCCCGGGCTTTCGGAGTGATGAAATGAGTGTGGCAAAGGGGACAGTTCAGGCACTGTCCCAGCCTGGTGTGGGAGAGAGAAGGGGGTGATGTAAAGTGGGGAAATCGGACACAGATTTGCCCCCAACTAGCTGAACTTGGAGTAAAAACTCATGGATATTGCTTGTGGGAGAAGCGGTTGGTGCCTCGGATATGGGGCTCTGAGGATGTTGCACCCCTCTGCCTTGGGACCCGCCGACTGGTCGCCGAGTTTTCTGACGATTCCCCGGCTGTAGGGGTGTGATTGACTTCTGATTTTCCCTGTGCTTTAAGTATACACGCAATGCCACACCACGAAACAGAACTCAGTGATGTGGTAATATTTAGCGATTCAAACCTAATACTGTGCTTAGCAAGGTATTTTACACTAAATGCGGCTGCAGACCTTGGTCCCAGGTGTTATTTATCCCTGTAGACAACAAAATCAACTATATTATAAGATATTCAAAAGTACACAGATCCCAAATCTGTTAAGAACTTGAGCAGCGTAGTCCAGACATCCCTGAAGCACAGCAAGTCCTGGCTTACCAAAGTGGCTACCAGAGTCTGCCAGTGACTCTTGCTACCAGATCCAACAAATGATGCCCACTCCCAGCAGGATGCTCTGGCTAGTGCTGACCTGCTCCTCACACCCAGCCCAGCAGCAGGGTCTGACTTTGAGGAGTGGTGCATGTCTGACTGTCTTTGCTTCCCCACCATTTGCAACCCAGCAAGATCCTGTCCAGCTGAGGTGCTGCTCCAATGCTGTGGAGAGCATTTCAGGACAGCAACTCCCAATTTACAGTCTATTATTTGTTTCCCCCCTTTTTTTCCATTCGCTCCTATTTTTTGCTTGGTTGCTTTTTTTCTGACTGTCAAAGGAAATGGTACATCACAGTCCAGCAACAAGATAATGATGAAATATTAGAGATTGTCATTTTCCAAAACAAATTGCAGTTCTTTTTTACCGTTTCAGTGGGATTTGACTGGGGACTGAATAGTGTGTGGTGGAATAAATCTGCCTGACAAAAGCAGTGGCCGTTATTGTGAAACAAAAGAAAATTTTGATTTATAGATGGTTTCTCTTTGCTTTTATCCATATCAGGTGCACATGCTACAAATTGGGCTCTGCCCCCCTGAACACTTTAACAGGCTATCAAAATTGTGGAAGCTTTGCCAAGCAGTGTGCTAAGATGCTATAAAATTATCTTAGTAATAGAAGCATCTTCTTTATTAGATTCAGTAGCAAAGCTTTCCTTTATACAACTAAACACAGAGCTAATCCTTATGTCAATGGAAAGCTACTTATTAAACCAGTACATTAATTAAAGAAGCCTATATTTTGTATCTATGATTGTATTTATATCTACCTAATTAAAAGAGTTGTTTTAAAATGATCTAAAGTGAGAAATTGCATTTAGTTCTGGGTTTTGTTACTAAAAACAGAACACATTTATTTTAAAAAAATTATCATAAATGTGAAGTCATCAGTGCTGAAAGATATCTGCCTAATCTACTTTGATTTAAATACACGGATCAGTGTCCCGAGCTTTGGCCTAAGAAAGGATTTAATTTGTTATGCATTTTAATTATCACATTCTTGTTGAATATTTAATAGATTGTGAAATAAAATAAATTAGTCTTTTACAATTTGAGAGTGGGATACCTTTAAATATTCTGCACCTGTTGAATGGTGCAGAGTGTTTTAAGAATAGTGAGAAAAAGACACACTTGAATTAAACTTTAGTTTCAGGTGAAAGGGTTCTGATTAACTCAGAAGTTACATTTTTGAACAGTGTGTTTTAATACTGAAAAAGCCTGCTTGCCTGAAAAACATATTAGGAGATTTTGAAGATGATGTGAAAAAATTTCCAGGTAGAAAAATTCTGGTCTTCTATTTATCTAATACTTCTCTCTTGCTTGGATTTGTATTGCTCAATAATCTTTCATCTGAAACTGAATTTTGTTTTCAGCAGATTCCTGTTAATGGGCAAAACTGGTAGACGTTAAACACACAACCCTATTTGTGCCATGAGTTACATTGTCCGAATCCTTGCAAGCTACAGTCCTCCAGTACTTCCAAGCCAGTATGGACTCCATTTCATTTTCAACTATGCCTTTCTTAGTAAGTGTAGTTTTGCATTTCCTGACACATGGGTAAGGTAAACTGATTTGGGCATAACTGCAATCCTCTTTCTCATATACCAGAAAAAACAATATAACTTGTAACAAAAATGTACATTTGTACTAAACCCGAACTCTATCTTATACCAGGACAATATTTCTACTGAAATCTGTGCAAATTTTGACAGAGCAAGTTCTCCAAGCTTGAATCTTACTGTAGAGGAGGCTTGCATAGCTTAAGGTGGTCACCTTTATGCAAGGAACTCTCTGAAGTTCAAGTAAGCGTTCTTGTAAACAGGAGACAAAATACATCTTTTTCTATTGTATCTGGTTTGGTTTTGTTTAATTGCTTGATGAAATTAATGTTACACTATTGCAGGAACAAAACACATCCTCATTAAACGAATAGCTTGGAGGATGTTTTGGATGCTGTAATTAGCTTCTTTGAAATATTTATGTTCTTCCTAATGTTGCTTGAATAAATGTTAATTATGGCTAGTAGAAAGGAAATCAAAGAGCTGAGTATGTGAAAACATCATCATCTCTGTCTTCTGCGAAGGCAAGGTCAGGAGGTACGTCACTGAATCCACTCGCTGCATACACCCACACACAGCCTGTGAAGAGGTCAATGCATGCTGGTTTTTCTATGACTTTAATTTAATTAAAATTATGAGAAATCATTCGTCCTACATCTGAACGTAAGCATTAGGAGAACTTTTATCCATACTGCACTTTCTTCACCATAATATTCCAGACTTACTGGACAGTGCTTGAAATGGCCCACTTTGTGTGGGCAAGCACGTTGATGTTTCTCACAGCTTCATATGGCTCGATAAATAATTTATCAATCCTTCTGTGCAATGGACAGGTTGTGCACATTGATTTTCTTCTTATCTGTTTATGTTCTAGGGAATTAAAATTTTGTGTAGCAAAATTAATGCCTGCTTAGATACTGCATTTCTTCGAGGTATTCTCTCCATTTATTACTAAGAATGCATAGAAAGTTGGTATCAGAACAGAAAAAGATCCACAAAGAAAAGTCAATGGAAAGTCAATTCAAGAATCAGCATCTCTGAACAGGCTTTTATTACAGTGTTGATTTAACACAGAGAGATATTTCCTCAGTAGAAGTCTTTTGGAATATCTCCCTACAAATAGAAAGCAAACAACAAAACCCAAACCATATAGGGCATGATAGGCCCTACGTTTTCTTAGAATATTTCTTTTTTATTTTATCCAAGATAATGCCTCAGCTCTTCCTTTATATAAATGACCCTCTTATGAATTAGATCTTGCCTGAACTACGGGAAATGAGGACAAAAAACCCAGCCCCTGTGCTAAGAGAGACTCCACTAGGGAACAGTGATGGGACTGAGTGCAGCAAGTATAAAGGGTTCTGCAAAAGTTCCAGAATGTTTTGCATAAAAAATTCCTTGTGTAAAAGAGAGACAGTTGAACCCTTTAATGACTAAAGAAAATTTGCTCAGCAGGTGACAATGACTAAATTCAGCAAAAACATGATGATCTTTCCAAAATGGAGGCTACCTGTGGGTACCCAGTAGCAATGTGTAATTTTTATGGACTTGCATTTGTTTTAGAAGTGGAACTGGTCACAGATGATAAATCTTTCTCACCACATTCACACCATTTTCCAAATTTTCCACCAACATTCATCATTAATTCCACAAAAAATATGGGACTAGAAACAGAACAGTTTATTTGTTTTATGAAGTCTTGATGATTGTAAAAAAAAATATAAATTTCTGTTCAAAGGAAAGCAGTAGTTCCTACTATCATTACTATGTAAGAAGTATGGTTGCATAAATTGTTTGAAAAAAGGCTAATCATCAAGATGCTTCCATCTCGCTTTTCTCTAATACGTAGCAAAAGAGATCAATGGCTGTGATGATTACATTTACCTGGGGGAAGAAAATTTTGAGTACCCTGTGAATTATTTACACATAATTAATAAACCAATAAAACCTCAATATTGTTTTCAGAATCTACAGGTTTTATAACTGAAAAGACTTTAAGCAAGTCAGTAAAGGAGTGAAGGTGGGTGAGTAACGACATTTAGAAAATGTCATTTTTGTCTTCCACGTGGTTGTGAGATGAGTTGGTTTTACAATGGGATCATTTCTCTTTTAAAGAGAGACAAACTCATGTTGTAACTTCACAATGGTTTAGTATAATTTTTTCACAACATGCACATAAATCCAGCAGGAAGGAAGAATCCCAAAAACTATGTTTATAAAGCTTATATTTTGCCAAAAGTTTAACTCCCATTGGCTTCAGAAAAAGTTATATAATCCAGGCTGAGTTTGATACATTGTCTAAACTCTAACATTTAACCATAAGTTTCCTATATAAGTTTTATCATAACTTTCCATAACTAATGCTAACTGCAGGAAATTTCTTTGCACACATGCAACGCGTAAGCACTTGCTTGAAAGTCTGAAGGAAAACACCATAAGGAAATAATTTGGAAAAATGTACTAAAAACCCCTGTCTTCCAGCCTGAATCATTTGGAGATTCTCTGCCCAAAGCGTTAAGCGATGGGATCCCAGTGCTCTGCTGCTTGGCCTGTTTATCTGTTAACCATCTTCCTAAGA